TAAAATTGTCCCACCCTCAATTATAGTTTTTTTGTTAACTGTTATATTTTAGGGTATGCAGTTGTTTTGGCTTTAAGTGTGTGTGTGTGTTGGAGTTTCTAGAGAGTGTGTCCCTCATTGAAGTTTTCCCCCTCGGAATAGAGTAAATATTAAAAGCAAATTTTTTAAGTTAGGCCAGATGGATACAAGGGGACAAACTTGGGACGAGTGTCACATGGAAAGTTCTGAAGATGGCAACATGTCATAATTGGATGAATAGGGATAGAAGGGGAGAATTGGAGTAGTATCCTATTTCTGAATTTTAGGTAAGACAAATGATGTAGAGAAATTAGAAAGATAATGACTTTTATTTCAGTCATTGAGTTTAGAATATATTTGTAAGTAAAGCGTGGTGGAATATTCAATTATAAATCCTTAACAGATAGCAAGTTCTTGGTATTATTGGAAGTTTAAGAAGAACCTAAAATAGTATTCTTGGTTCATTTCCACTTTTTGGAGAATGAGATTAATAAGCAATGAAATATAAAGGATCATCATACGGTTGGCTTGTGAGCCTGGGCAACCTTTTAAGGGTCTGAACTCCGGGAGCCACCCTATATGGAGGGGAAGCCATGCCAGGAGCTAAGAAAACCCGGTGGCCTACAGTAGACAACCTCGCTTTGTACCAATGCCCCTGGCCTCAGAAGATTGGAGGAAACTTAGGGTCTTCCCCATGAGTATTCAACTCAAGTCAATCCAATTCATTTCAATTAACTTAACTAAGTTAAAACAATTGACTTGGTTGCTAAATATGTATTGCTAAGATTAGAAATATTCTAGAACTACACCATCCAACATGATAGCCATTACCCAGTATGTGGTTATTGAACACTTGAAATATGGCTAAACTGTGATGTACTCTAACTATGAAATATACAAGAGATTTTGAAGACTCAGCATGCAAAAAAGAATGTAAAATATCTCATTAATATTTTTGTTTATATTGTTATATGCTGAAATGATAATATTTTGGATATATTAGGTTAAATAAAATATATTATTAAATTAAATATGTTATTATATTAAATATGTTAATTTAAATTAAATTAATTTCACCTATTTATTTTTTCTTTTTTTAAATGTGGCTACTAGAAAATTTAGAATTATGTATATGGCTCACACATTTGTGGATTGCACTGTATTTCTATTGGATAGAGTCATTTTAGGGTATTTTGGGGGGAGAAAAAAAAGCACTGCAAGTATCCAATGTTAAAATTAAACACAGAGACCATACTTGAAAATCCCTGGGCAGACAAAATCAGATAGTCATATAAACAAATGTTTTAGCTTACTTTGCAAGACAAGCAAGATTAACTTAACCTGGGTGACTTCTTGCTTATGCTTCTGAAAATCACAAGCAAAACTTAAATCATTTGCCAAAATTGATAGGAGGTAACCACTAACCAATTTCCTTTCAGTTAAGAAAATTCTAATATTATAGCCAATCACGGTAAAGAATGAACACTCATCGCCTTTACACTACATAAGCTGCTTTATAACAACATATCTCTAAGCCTCATTCCATATTTTAGTTTAAGCATTCCTGGTTTGCAAACTTTTTGGTACATGCACAATAAACTTTCACAAATTACTGCTTCAGTGATTTCTGGCTTTACTTCTGTTTGTGTTTTGTTTTTTAATGTACTTTTTTTTTTTTTTCATTTAATGTACTTTTGACTGCAAGTGGTCCTATAGGCTAACAAATTTGGGCCTGTAGGACCTTCCCAGGGGACATCAACCCTAAACCATTCACACAAACCCTCTTGCTCTGAAAACAGAGAGAGACTGCTGGGGAGACCATAGTGCCTGCTTCTCTATCCTATCTCCAGCTTCCTAAATCTCCTGCAATCATGTGTGGCTTAGCTTGATAAATGCATTTCTCCTGATGGGGCAGACAGGTATCTACACAGAAATATTAAAAACAAAAACAAACTGTAGCTTTTATTCCTCATTTGGCCTCGAAAGACAGAATCTATCTCAAAAATATCGAACAACTTTGAAAGTTAGTATAGTTTACTGGAGAAGGACTAAATTAATCACCTGACAGATATTGCTAGGTAATTCTAGAACATGAGGTAGATTCGGCAGTGTGCCTGTGACAAGGGTGGCAAATGATGAGACCAAGAATGAAATATGTGAAGTGATATCTGTAGGTGGCACATGGGAGTGACTGTGGTACCCCCAAGAATGTGGGAACAAAGGACATCAGTTGCCTTCTGAGAGCTGACTCTGGAACTTACACAAATACCTAAAAGGCAGGGTTCCCAATTCAAGTGCCTATGGTGTCTATGCAAGTGGGTCTAACTTCAGGTCTGAGATTTAATTGTCCACCCACAGTTGCAGCTGGACTTCTGTTCAGGTATTTTTGCTGTATGGGCCCACTATTATCAAATCTGATTTTTAAAGAGATAACCTAGTTGTTTAAGTGCTCGCAGCTAATCCTAAAAAATTAATAAGCACTTTGAGATCTGAACCAAATAACTCTCATCTTAAAATCAACAAACAAACTTCCTTTGTTTTGCTTTGTATTTACTGAACGATGTTTTGATCACATTTTTAATGAAAATTAGTCTACCCTGAGAATTAAGTACCATTTACAGGTACTGACCGTATACCAAATACCCCAATGCCAGGTAGTTGTTTTGATTAGAGAGTTTAAGTAACTCCTTGGTCACAGAGCTCCTTAAGTGTTGCTACTGGGAGTCTAACGTAGGTGCCTATTTTCAGTGCCTCTGTTTTGTCATTCCAGTACCTGAGAGCTGGTTAATGTTCTGGGAATAAAAAATTTTCAGATGCCCCAGTAAGAGTGGATTTATATTGATATGCACCCTACTGGCCTGCTGTGTTTCTCTTCTTCCCAAGACCAAGTCTCGTAGGTCCTGAGCCCAGGATGAATATCTGGGTATCTGTAGTACTTGTATCTACCAATGTGAAATCATCAGTTGGCATGCTGGTAATCTAATCCTGTGATTTTGGTTAATCCAAATCCATTCCTGAGAGGTGGATCCTCTCACTGAACACTAAGTAATTTGGTTTCTAACCCTGGGAGAATGGTGGCCAGATCAGACAGGTGGTAAACTCATCTAGGAAAATGCCCCTAGTAAGCTGGGAAATAGCACCTGGTTTCTATCAACAATCTGACCTGTGTAAAGACTTCATCAGAAAGCACATTTTTCAGTCATTTCCAATTTCTTCTTTATAAACATGTTAAAGGAACAGAGAGTTCCAATAAAGCTAGTTTCATTGGGAAAGCAACCTAGCCAAAAGCAACCTAGCCTATCCAGCAAATATAGCACAGTAGTGTGACTTTGATTTGAGAAACAATGTCCCCGCTGGGCCTAGGATTTGCATGAAAATCCCCCTTGAGGTATACCTTCACAAAAACAGCTGCTCTCCAGGAGCACCTAAACCTCCTCATATTTATTGTTTCACACTGCAAAACATGTCTTAAGACAATCCCTTTCCAACTGAAATATCTAAATCCAATTGAAAATCCCCAACGGAAGTTGCAGATAGATTACAATATGACAGGAAAAATCAAGAGATTTGCAAAAGGAAGTAGGCAAGTTTGTTCAAGTGGGCAAGGAAGTGGTGTGAGCGAAAGTGGCCAGAAAGGTCATCTCAGCCTCCCAAGGAGAAACTATATGAGCACTGCAGTCCACTAAATAGCTGGGTGGAAACCCAAAGTCAAACCTCTGTTGGAGAGGGTTCTGTCCATAAAAATGAGTGCGTGGTTTGAATGAGCTGTTTGGCTGTGTTGGGGTAGTCTAGTTGCAGTATAGATTTTGGACATCGTAGGTTCCTGTTCTCCCGACATTTTATTTCTGGAAAGTGTGTTAGAGAAGTGAACTGACAGAAGAATGAAAATGCACTATGGAATTCAAGTCCAAGACCATCTTTCTCCAATGACTGCATCAGGAAGCACTGCATGAGCACATTCAGGAAAGCTCCTATAATTTAACGTAATGCATGCGATATAGGTCTTGTCTAGACTATGTATTAGAGGGGCTTGGCCCAGGATCTACTGAGTTTAAGAAGCCCTCTTTTACAACTGGTGGATCTTGACTCACTTTTCTTAGTAGGAAACTAATTAGGTCATCTGATATGAATTTGGAGATAGCCCTAAGTTAGAATTTCACGTTGGAGTATTTTTTTCAAGTCATCAGAGACAGTAACCCTCAGCAACAAGACATGGTTTGTGGAGGGAGAAGAAAGCTCTCTGAGCTCTTCACCAAACTTTCAAACCAGAGAGAGACTTTCTCTTTTCCTTTGCCTTTTCTCTGAGGCCTCATGAAACTAAGAGCCAGGTTATTCCTGCAGATTTTTGGAAAATTGATACTGAGGGTATCATGTGAAGTCAAACTGTGTCAAGACGGTGGAAGTTAGGTCTATATTCATAGATTTTGTTATTTTAATGCTCCTTTCCCATTACTTATTATATACTGGATGTGTCTTCTAATTAAAGTATTAAATTATTTAATCATCTAAACCTCCTTATGTGTAAGTACATTTCATTTAACAGGTGAGGAAACTGAGGCATAAATGAGTTACATAACTTGCTTTAGGTTAAAAAGCCAAGTCTGTGAAGTATTGGGATTAGAAACCAGGCAACTGTGCTCCAGAGTGCAATAAGGCACTAGATTGTCTCATGTTGGACAAAGAAATCTGGGGGAGGTGTGTCCTAGGAAAGCAAGATTTAAATTCTGCCATGAAGTCAGAAGGGTTGTGAGGTCTCCAAGTTCCATACCATCAGCTTGCTGTAGCAGCAAGGCCCTGCAGATGAACCCATGAGAGTATCTCTGCTGGAATCTTTCGGTGAAGAACAAGGAGTTTCAGGAAGTTTTTGGAATCTATTTGATTTTAGTACTTGAGAATTAGGCCTCATACTCCCTCCTTTGCTGAGCAGCACATGAAAGGAGAGGCAAGATTTCTAGGCACCCATAGGAGCCACTATTCCTCACCATATTTCAAATTCCAGATTGGTGCTGTTGACGTCCGGGTCATCAAAAGCACAGGTCAGCAAGTGCTGGGTTCCATCCACTTCCAACTGACTGTAGCAAGAGAATGAATAGTCATCCAGCTCAGCATCTTCAAACTCTCCTGGGGAAAAACAAACCTGCAGCTGTTAATGAAGCAAATGAGTGCATCCTTTTGAAATCTGGAGTGACATTAATGAAATAGAAGCCTTTTGGGGCAGACATGAAAGAGTGATTATAGGTTTATCTAAAGAAGAAAAGCCCAAGGGAAAAGACAGAAAAACCAATACCAAAACCCAAACCGAAAAGACCCCAAACCCAAACCAAATCGATATCTAATGAGCACAGATTTTTCTAACGGGAAAAAAAAAATCATCACAATTAATAAATAACTTCCAAATATTTCTGCCATTGGGTTAGTGCATTAGAGATCTAGAATAAAATACTAAATGCACTCTTTTTTACATTGCTAATTTCTTCTGTTAATTGGTATATTTCAAGTAAGAGATACTTTATCTCCATTATTCAAAAGCTACCTAATCTAACCTTTGACTTTATCACTAATCTTTATTTATTTCCTCCCAAGTATTTCTTTTTTGAATGAAGGAAGATGAGAACTATCTTACAGTCAGAAGTTCATTTTTTAAGGGATAGCTTTTTCTTGCCTAAATAGCCATCCCAACTAAAAGTACAATTGACTATCTCCATTGTGTGAATATTTATTTAAAGCAATTTGTCTTAAGCTGCTAAGGCAAATGTGGTTAGAAAAAATTAGACCTGCCAGGACTCAGATCTAGTGGACCTTTGCAAGAATCCTACAGGAATCCTATAGGTACTGCTTCTACGTGTATAGATCCTTCATCCATAGAAATTGTATCTTAAAGACATCAGAATTCTCGAAGAATGTAGAGAATCAGATTTTTTTTCCCAGCCTCTTTTGGGAAGTACAATCTGGCACAGATAGTATTCAATTTCTTTCTTTCTTTTTTTAAAGATTTTATTTATTTGACAGAGAGAGACAGAGAGAGAGGGAACACAAGCAGGGGGAGTGGGAGAGGGAGAAGCAGGCTTCCCACTGAGCAGGGAGCCTGATGCAGGACTCGATCCCAGGACCCTGGGATCATGACCTGAGCCGAAGGCAGACACTTAACGACTGAGCCACCCAGGCACTGCTAGTATTCAATTTCTTAAACTGGGTTGAGGCCCCTAAGATGAAATAAACATTTTGTATATATATTTCACAATATTTAATAGAAAAAAATTTGTCAGCAAATATACTTGGACTGGGACCTGAGAAAATCCAGCGTAACTGAAGCCATTCTCAGAGTGGTCAAGTGTTAGCCTGTGATGGCTTCCAGGTCCATCAATACTAGAAATTACCTTGACCCATCAATACTAGAAGTACTAGAAGCACCTAGGGTTTTAAATAGGGTATAGAATGTATTAAAATTAAACCCCAGTTGAGTGTCCTGAAGGCAATGAAATGTAGAAACAGCATCTTCTTTACTTAAATAACTAAGTAGGTCTGTGGGAAAGTTAATAAAGCTTGTTGTGAGCAGACTAGTTGGGTGACAGTTTGGTTCAGTCAAAGCCACAAATCTTGAAAAGCTAGATCTAGATAAGAGATAAGAGCTGTGGGCACTGCTCTTTCTGACCATTCCTAGAACCCACTAGGTGTACAATTCTGTCACTAGCAAAGACTTCTTATGTAATTTCAGCAGGGTATAGCCCTCTTCCTGATGACAGTTTTAAATAATGAGGGGGAAACCCACAATTTAGGGCTCACATTTTAAAGCATGTTCATTCCTAATCTTATAGGACTAAGATCTTGTCTCCTAAGAACTGGCTCTTTTCTCAGTGGAATGGTTCTAGGTGGCTTTAGCCTGCCCTTACTCAGCAGTCCTCACTCTGTCTTGACATTTTCTCTTCTTTGAATCTTCCACCAATCCTATACAACAGAACCTACATTACTATTTGGATTCAGCCTTCTGTGGATCAGCTTTGTCTCCGAAATTCTTCAACATACAATATAAGCCTGAGAGAGCACAGTCTAGCAGATGCTGAGCACCAGTAGAATAAAGCACTCCCACTGCCCTTAGCCATCCAGTCTGGTGGAGTGAGTCTGATGTGTATTTTCATACAAGATACAAAGCACAGTTAAAGTGGCTATGTTTTTTTTTTTTTTTTGCAGAGTATTTATTCAAGTTGTTTACTATTAAAGTGGCTATGTTTTGAGAAGCAGTTCATTGGCTCTTTAGCCAATAAAGTTGCTTTGTAACCAAGAAAATTCCCCTCGACAACTTGCAAAATTGCAAGGCATTTTACAAAGAGAATATTACACTTGATCTAAGCTGAAAAATTCTTAGGTAAGAGTAATATACACAGTGGTCAAGACCTCTAGCACCAGAGCTGGACAGATGTGGGTTTAAATTCTCGCTATTCTACTTTTTAGCTGTGGTCCCTGTCAGGTTACTCAACCTCTCTATGCCTTATTGTTTCAACATGGAAATTCACATTATTTTGAGGAATCATTGAACAAAATATATGCAAAGACTTAGCTTAGAACACAGTAAGCACCCAATAAGGGTTAGCTATGACTATTTTTTTTTTTTTGACAATAAGTAATGAAAAGGTAAAATGAGAATTCTAATTCTGAAATATACGTGAAAACTGAATTCTATGTCAAAGGTATTATTACTATGGCTTTGAAATTACATAGAACTTTTGTACAGTGAGTTAACCCATTATTCTTTAAATGCTCACTATATAAGCATACTTTTGTATAAAAATTTAATTTTTAGAATATGTATTATAGACAAGGCCATGTGGTTTAGAAATCTTCCTATTGAAAAGAATTAGTTGATTAAAAGTATGAATGGCTTAGATTTTTAAAAAATATCCCTTTCTTCTCGTGCTCATCCTTGTGGTTATCAAAGAACTAATCTTTCAACAAATAACAGCTGATTATTATACACCCCAAACTGAAAAGTATTTTGACGTGATCAATGTGGATGATTGGTTAGATCTCCTAAATCAATCTGAAATTTAAAAAGTTGAAGTGAAAACTCAGCTTTCAGTTAGAATTCTTATTTCTTTGAAAAAAAAAAAAAGTATGGCCACCAGGGAGAAATAGAGGGAATAGATTATACCCTGAAGAGTAAGAATTAGGTGTTACTTGCCAACCAGCTATCTGTGCAAACACAAGGCAACACTTTCGAATAATAATCATCCCCACAAAGTGATTCATACATGGTCACGCTGTGAAAAATGTCAGCATTCTGACAATTCCCTTAGTGAAAATATTCTAGGGATTTCCAACCGTAGTAAATACATGGCTTAACACATCTAAGCTGAATCATTGAGTTGATGTGTTTGATAACCTTGATAAGAAAATCCTTTTTAACTCTTAAAGTAAAAGGGCTTAATTATCAGGAACAAATGGGTGGTCCAAATTCCCAGATGGCTCCTGTTGTGGCTGTTTTGCCTTTGTCTACAGTTTTGTTGTAATTACAACTTACTTACTAAGAAGGCAGCATCGGCTTCTAGGTGCTAAGTATTTCAAGGATCCCAAAGAGAGTTATTATATGATGATAAATTTGTCAATATGGAGAAAATTAAATATACTTTAATGAGACAACTCATTCAGATCTTTCGCTGTTCAGTTATTGCCTAAGAATCTCACATAAATCTATCAAAACTAAAGTATTTTGAAGAAATTTTCAAATACTCAATTCAAATACTGAATTCAGTTCTAGACACTCGTTTAGGTGCTAGAGATATAGGATTGGTGAGTGCAGACAAAGCTGTTGTTTCTGGAAATTATTTTATCATGAAAGTCATGCTTTTGGAACCTCCTAAAAAGCTAAGCAAAACAAATTTAACTTGATTTTTTAACAAGGTAAAACTGCCTTAGAGATTCTCCAATAAGCACAACCATTGTGTCTATATGGGTGTTCTTTTTGTAAGAGCAGAGGCATTGACTGACATTTAAGATCCACATTTAGAGAGCCAAATGCATTCCTTTCTGACAATTCTAAGACTTTATAAACCACCCACAGTATTGTCCCCAGACGCCCTGTCCTGGCGGTTAGAACTTAAAAAACGACTGAGTATGTGGCAAGTTCTCCAACTCCATTTCAACCCAGTGTCCAGATCAGGTCTGTTAGGGATCTGAGTAACCTGAAGCATATGCTAGAGATACTCTGAAATCCTAAAGAAAAGTTAGAAATGACTCACCATTCTGTGCATAGCCACTTTCTCCAGAAACGGCTTGAAGTAAATAGAAAACCATACCAAAAGCTGTACCCAGAATTGTCATTCTGAGAGAGAGAAAGAAAGGAGAGAGGAGGTGTGTGAGCCTATGTGTAGGAATGAATGAGAGAGAGAGTGAGCCCCAGCGAGAGAGAGACAGAGACAAATCTACAGCTTTAGCACTTTATACTTATTTAACCACAGACAGGGGGAAGTATAAACACAGCAAAAAAGAAGGCAAGTGCCAGAAACAGGAAGTCTGAGTAAAAGTATTGCTGTTGTAAGCAGAGGTAGAGGAAATGAAGGGATAGAACATTTGAATTATTGTACCTCTTTGGCATTCCTGACAGCCCCCAAACTTACTCTGCTTATTCCAGAGTAAGGTAGTGCATTCAAATCTAGCCCCAAACTACCTGAGACTAGAATGTGAATCAGTTTCAGTTAAAAAAAAAAAAAATCACAAGACAAAACTAAACTTAGAAAGCTAATCAGTTGATTGTCTGGGGTGCGTGTCTCTTTAAGGAAAGATTCTGCACTTTATGAAGTAATGTACTGCAGGTTATTTTAAATAGTTCACCTCCAATCTCTGAACATACACACCAGTGAGTTTCACAAGAACAGCAATTTTGTTTGGTTTTCTGTGTATCCCCAATACTGACTTATACCTTGCTCATCAAAGTAGGCATTCAAGAATTATTTATTTAGTTCAGGAGTTGGCTAACTACGGCCAAGGGGCAAAATTTGGCCCACCACCTATTCTTGCAAATAAGGTTTTATTGGAACACAGTTACTGTTGTGCTACAACAGTGGAGCTGAGGACCTGCGGCAGAAACCGTACGGCACACAAAATGTAAAATCTTTACTCTGGTCCTTCACAGAAAAAAATAAAAGCTGTTGATCCCTTATTTCTTGGATAACACAGTTATTTTCTCAGTGTGGGGTTTTTTTTTTTAACACAACAAACACCAATTTTTTTTTTTTAAAGATTTTATTTACTTATGTGAGAGAGAGAGAATGAGAGAGAGCAAGAGCATGAGAGTGGGGAGGGTGAGAGGGAGAAGCAGACTCCCTGATGAGCAGGGAGCCTGATGCGGGACTGGATCCTGGGACGCCAGGATCATGATCTGAGCTGAAGGCAGTCGCTTAACCAACTGAGCCACCCAGGCGCCCATCAGTGTGGTTTTAATAGGATTATATTTGTGAAAATGTGATTGCCACACAACATTTCAGGAACATACAGTGTTTGCGAACCACATTGGTACCTGCCTATACGTGCTCATGGGGCAAAAGCTTGGGACAAAGACGAAGATAATTCAGACTCTCCCTAAACTCATCTGCCAATCAAAACTTCTCCCAACATGGCCCCTGGGTTAAAGTAGTCATATTTGTTAAGTCTAACCAACTTCCTGGTAATTGTTATATCTTTTTCTTTAAACCGCTATTAGTATTCAAATGAAGGTGCAGGTTGATAGCAATTCTGTTATCAACAGACAATGACTCCCGAAACTCCGAGGTCTGCTCAGGTCTTCCACTGGCTGGCTAATCACCTGGATTGGAGCTATAAAACACCCGTCAGCTCTCTTTTAGAAAAAAGCCACAAGACTGAAATTATAAGGTGATGAGTACGGAGATGCCGAGTGGACAGTGAGTAGTGAACTTCCGTTTGATTCACAGACATTGGGTAGATATTGGCCTATTGGGCTGTGAAAATGGCTGAATTACCAAAGATGAACAGCACCCCCAAAGTGTAAAACAGAGAGAGTCTTTGAAAGCTGCGTGAGTTCGCTTATGTCATCATTACAGTGATTGTGACAATCTCATAAAATGAGAAAAGAAGTGGGGCACCTGTAGAGTCTCTGGAAGCCTGCCTTGACTGTTGAGGCAGATCCAGTGACAGAGATGGGGTACCCTGTTCATAAGATCACACTCTGGACTGCAAGCTCAAGGGATATTTCAGAACAAGAAACCAACTGCATGTACGTAATCTATCTCCTCCATCTGCCGAGGTTTTCTTTTGGCATTTTGAAACATATTTCAAAGAGTGACAATTTTGTGCATCAGATAATAATTTGTGCCCTCATTTCTAATCTTGTCTTGAAAGCTTGGTTAGAAAAGCATGAATCTGATTCGTGAAAGTTGATATGTTTTTGCATTGAGCTGAATATCCTTTCAAGAAAGATATAATTATAAATTCCCATAAACTAAATAAGTCTTAGAGAAGGAATCACGAATTATATCTATCCACCAACACAGGTCTCATGAATTGCTCAGATTGTCACTCCATGGGTGAGTAATTGGGTTGTGTCTCTTTAAATTCTCTTGTTTATCATTTTAGTGGACTATCATTTTGATTGTATCTCTTTCCTTTAGTTGTGAAGATGTAAAAGAACAAAGCCAAGACACAATATTTTCGTACAGCATGTGCTAGTTTGCTCAGGGGATTTCCACTGGTGTACTTACTCTTTTTGGGTGGGGCAGGAGATGCCGAAGGACCTAGAGAGAAACCTAGATATAGTGTGGGGAGCTCAAAGAAAAGAGAAGCCTCACTAGTCCTTCTAGAGATTCTGGGGGAGCAATGGTGCCTTCCCTACTTTCTTCACCCAGGTCTTGCTAGGCCTTTGGAAACTTAGGAAGAAGTTGCTTCACCTACTCCCGCAGTTGAGAGACATTCACTATGTTGCTTTGTCATTACTCCGTAAGAGAAGTGGAGAGCTAAGAAAAGCAGATCAGAAAAGATGCCCAGGGCACCTGAGTCTCCACCTGCAAAGTCAGGATCCCAGCAGTGGACTGAGGACAAAGCAGATCCTTGGATGCTGCAGCCTGATTGCTGCACACATCCCCCTTTCTCTTCTCCCATCATTTTCTTTCATCACTACCTTCTCTTTTCCCTCTCTTATATGTTGTCTTCCTTTAGTCTCATGAGTTCCTATGATGTGGTGAATCATAGAAAAGGAAAGGTATTTTATTGTTTCTCATATACAAGCAGAACACAGTGACCTTGTAACACTCCTAGTGTCAACTGGTCACAACTTTCCTTTCTTCCTTTGTGTGTGTATGTGTGTGTGTGATCATTCAGACTGTTTATTAAACAGAGAAAGCAAGAATGATTTTCTTTTATTTTCCTACTGTAATAAGTAATGTCTATAACTTTGTGTATAACAAGTAGAGTCCTGAAGAGCTCAGAAAGCTCACCTTTTAGCCAGATTTGAGATTACTGGATAGTGGAGTGGAAGAATGTGGTGCACCCTTTACTTGACTGTTTGTTGTTTGTTTTCTTGGTAAAAATCCACTCCAGGAAGCCCCAGGTTTTGCCTCTTTGTCCCAATCTGTAAGGACAAAGATTTTCCTGGGCAAATTCAGGCTGAGAATCTTATTACTAATCCTTACTCTCTGAACTCATCTCTTAGGACCAGAAATTTCATTTCCATCCTTGACAGAAATTATAAATTTAGTGGGTCAGGCACCAATGTGTTATCTCTTTCAGCACCCTTGGGAAACAAACTGTTTCAAGAGCAAAAGCACTTCTCAGAGTCAGCTTTTGTACGAAGCTTATAAAAGAGCCGTTAACATTTAGTAATTTGTCCCAAATGAGAAAGATTTAAAAGTTTACTCACCTTGTGATTGGACATTGAAGGACCATAGAATGAAACAGCAGCTACAACAATAGTAATAATAAGCAGTATATGTTGCTATAGGAATATCCTGGGCAAAATCTGATGTTTAAAAAATACTCAGAGAGTTCCAAAACATGTTCTATGAAATCTTTGAATGTGCCCTCCTCCCATTGTAACTTACCTTCTTTAATTAACAGTAAGATATTATCCATAAGATGGGAAACAGTCTTGGGCACCTGCCTTCTGCTGGAAGAAGGAAATCCAGGCCAGCTCAGTGGAGTGAATGGGGACCCCCAAGAACTATGAAAAAAAAAAAAAAGAGGAAAACCCCCCAGGGTGTCAAGTTGGTGAGGATGACTGTAGGGAGCCCTAATCATGCTCTAGTCCAAAATGAATTGTTTTAGCATTTTATCAGTGTGTGCTGAGTCAGTCCCTAGGGCTCTAAGGGGGAGTCCCAACATCGTGAAGTTTCATTTCCAGGAGCACAGCGTTTTCCTTGTTGTGGCTCTTCTTTCATTTCCCTTTCCTCCTTACCCTGTGTCTTCAGCCCCATACCTTGCTGTCATGTCATGCAATGAGTTCTTTCTGGGCAGAGTTTGAAATGTCAGAGCTATTTTGCCCTGACAAGATTTTAGTCTCTGTCTTCGGATACAACAAAAATGGAGTCTCTGAGTGCCCATTTTTCACTCTTTGCTGAAGACATTTCTGCCAGAAAGAGAGTGTTTTGATGTCAATACATGCTCAAATTTTGATAAAAACGTGAACCGGAGTATCGATCCTTGGGGAAAGTGGTCTGTCTGCTGGCAACAGCGGCAGATCCTGGCACTTTGGGGGGCAGCTGGGGAACGGGTGGGTCTGTCTCTCCCTTCAGGCCCTTCCCAACAGAGAGTTCACAGGAGGCTCCTGCTCACAGCTCTAGGGTCAGTGCCTTGTAGTGTTTTGGAGAAAAGTCCGGATTAGGTGACACCCTCCTGGGCCCTGGCCTGTGACTCTGTGCAGATGTCCTGGCAATGCAGCTCCTAAATGCCTGCAGAACACTTTCCAGGGGCCTGTGGTGCTGACTGCCACACTGGTATCCCAATACAGACAACTGGGAAAATTGGTAAGAACCCTCAATTCTACTTCTTATGCTTCGCTGCCCTCTTAGAACCCAGCACCTGTGCAAATTAAGTCCCCAAGAACAGCCTTGGTGTCTGATAATTTCCTAACCTAATATCAACATAAGCAAAGTCAACATTAAAAGTAACCCTGAGTGATACTGTTCATGGAATTGCCACATAGAGTTGGCAGATGTTCATGGAAAATAAGGAGCAAGGGGTCTGTCTGTTGGAAGATTATATGAGACTGCACTAAATTTTTTTAAAATTTTATTGTTATGTTAATCCCCATACATTACATCATTAGTTTTTGATGTAGTGTTCCATGATTCATTGTTTGTGCATAACACCCATTCTGACTGGTGTGAGATGGTATCTCATTGAGCTTTTGATTTGGATTTCCCTGATGCCGAGCGATGTTGAG